TTGGTGTCCATGCCCTATTCTGGGAACAGAGAAGTGGGTATGAGAGATCATAATGGTGGCAAGAAGTGGAATGGATTTTAATGTGTGCTCTGGGGAAGTGGCCAAAATGCTCTGTAGTGTCTCCTTGTACAAATACTGTCACCATCAGAACAACAGGACCTTTCCACTCCTAAATCTAGACTCTCAGGGTTAACAATATACCATTACCTAAGTGTTCAGTGATCCATTCCTGAACACATGTACCTCGTGCTTCCCACCCCACAGTACTGAATTGCATTCAGTTATCCTTTTACAGGCATTTTCTTCTAATTCTACATATTTTCTGTTAAATGTATTCTAAAAACTGGCCTCTTTAATTTTCTCTAATCCTAATCACTTAACATCAGTCCTGTTTTCTAATACCTCCATGACTATCTAGCACATAACTGAAACCAGAATTGTGCTTACCCTGATGAATACATTTAATTCTCTCAACTCAAAGATGATCAAATTCGCCAAGGTCACTCAGCTGATAAGGACGCACATATATGTTGGGCTCCAGACATGAGGACTATTTGCCAGTATTTTCTTTGTAACCTGGATACTGTGTTAGGAACTCTCTCTCTCTATACTCAACCCTTTTTCACCTACCAAATTGCTATTGGTCTTTAAAGGCTTAACTCAGGGGTCACTTCCTCCATGAATCTTCTCAGGTTTTCTGGTTGTGCTCTTTCCTGTTCTATCATCTGGGTGGGGTGCCTTGGTCCTGGGTTTCATCCCCTCCTTGCTTTCACTGAAATTTAATTGTCAGCAGACTCTTCATCTCCCTTACTAGGTTGTAGATTCCTCCAGAGCAGGGCAGGGTGTGGGTCTTGTCTTAGGATTCCCAGTACTAGCACAGTGCATGACACACGCATACACACAACAAATGCTTGCTGAGTACTAAGTAGTGAACCCCACTTCTCTGCTTGGGCCAAAGGCCTAGTGAATGATGTCATCTGACTTAGCAGGAAAGACTTCTCATCATAAGCAATGCCATTTTTTCAGCTTTTCATGAACTCATTGTCCCACTAGGTCTATACTGGAACAAGTAACTGCTATTAGTTGAGGAACTACCACTTCTCAGACACCGAGATGCACATTATGCTTATCCTGGAAATACTGCCAAGTCGACATCATCCTCATGTTATGGATCAAGCTCAAAATCAGTTACCCTAAGTAACTGGCCTGCAGTCAGAGAAGGAAGGTTTTGTATTAAAAGGATTATAAAATGCCCTATTATGTATAGTCATCCCTGTCCTGGAGAGATTCCTTAGTATTTGAAATTACTTACACACACACACACAGTACATTAATTTAGACACTAGAGTAGTGAAAACATGGTTCATTAGCATTTATAGAGGTTCAAGACAGTTCTACCATATGCATTATCTAGGGTAATGCCTGTAGTCTTAATTTTCTTATAAGTGGGGATTATAATACCTACTTACCTCAAAGGGGGATGAATAAAAAAAAAAAAGATCATGTATGCCAAAATGTTTTGTTAAGGAAGTGGGCAGAGTCCCATCTTAGAGAACTATGCTGGATAGAGTTTAGTGCCGTGTTTCTTAGAGCCATTTGAGGTGTTAAGAGCAGATGAAAGAAGCCAGGCTGGAAGTCCCCATTTAACAAGTTCCCAAATGATTCTACTGGACACAAAAGCTTGATAAATACCAGGTTAGAACAATGCTTCTCACGCTTTAATATACACATGAATCACTTGAAGATCTTGTTAAAATGCAGATTTGAATTCAGTGGGCCTGGTGAAGGCAGGTTGAAACATTGTATATCTAACAAGCTCTCAGGGGAAGCCAATGTTGCTGGTCTATGGATCACATTTGAGTGGCAGGGGGCTGGAAGATCTATCCCCACTGGAACAAATTAGCTTTGCTTTGTTCCTGGACCACAGATTGAACCTCCCAGCCTCAGGGAGTATTCCAGAAGGCCCAAGATCTTAGTATTGCTACAAAACACTTGAACTACTCCAAACTAAATTGGAACACATTCCCTATCTTTTTCAGCAGTAGCATCCTTTTCAGATACAGATAGCACATAGGTTTAGCATGTAAAAGAATAATTTATTGCTATTACTTGAGTTCTATTTACTATGTAAAGCATTTGAATACATTATTTCTAATTCCAACTACAACCCCACAAGGTGGATATTCTTGCTCTATAGATAAGAAAATGATGACATAGAGAGCATAAGTTACCTGCTGAAAGTCACATGGCTAGTTAGGTGTTGCAGCTAGGGTTCCAATCCTGTTCTTTTAGGATCCAAAGCCTATGTGCCCTCTGTATGTCTTCCACGATGCTAGTATGATTTTGGTACAAAATGTGACAGCTTAGGAAAAAATGGGAAAAAATATTTTCTCCTGTATCAGTCTTTGAGTTCAAGGCTTTGCTAAGGCAGATTCTAGATGGGGGTGAGGATGGGGATAAGGTTAATTAATTAGTGATCTCTAATGCCTCATGAAAAACATGCAGATAGCATCTTTGACTATGGTTCCCATAAATCTGATAATACAAATGGAATAAAAAGGACATCTGCGACCAGGGCACTGATCCTAAATGTTGCCACCTACCCTCAGGCTTCTAGCCGTGGAACTCAACAAATAAAAAGGAAAAGTTTTTTCTGATCTTTGTGGTCTATCAACTTTGCCACCTTCTCTTATATGAGGTTTTTGTGACTCTAAATTTCACACCAACTTAGGTTGACCCTACCATGTGATTTCAGTTACCACACTTCCCTGCCTCTAATAAAATTGCCCGCACCGGAAAAAAAAAAAAAAAAAAGTACTGTTTAGTCAAATACATTGAAAGTGCAGCAGTTTTGAAGATTTTCTTTTGAGCAACAAAATTTTCTGTATCTGTCACAAGGTTGACATGGAAAGAAATGCATGACAATAAAGTTGCTCATGGAAATCAGTCAGATACTCAAGTGTACCAAATGGAGGAAAGACAGCTATGAAATAAACCATCTAGGCATTTACCATCCAGTGCCTTTACCATTTAATGATCCATGAATGGAGTATCCACAGATTTTTTAACCTCAGGTTGCTTAACTGTTGTTTTCTAAACACTCATCTTTAATAATAGAATTGTCTACCTATATTACCCAAAACGGTACAATTAGAAAGCCACATCTCCAGTAATTAAATATATACATAGCAGTTAAAACCAAACAGTGATGTTTGAATTATTAAGAATTATAAACTGATTTTGCCCTTGTGGTATTCCCTACACAGGATATTTCAAGAATAAAGACTAAAACCTAAAAAGAAACTGGTTTGAAAACCCACTTAAAAGTATTTTTAGACTGTGTATGTGATTTAAATAGACGGTAAGAAACTGAGTCTGGAGCATTGATCTCAAACTAATAAGCATTTCCTGTTTCACTCCCTAACCCCCAGGAATAGTTCAGATCTCAGAAAATCTAAACTAAAGGTCCACAGAAACCAATTTGAGATTTTTCTGGAGAGACTTTACTGAAATGTTTGGACATGAACATGTTTGCAGTGAGTCATAATTTATAGGACCTTAATGGCCAGCGCCTTATGTGCCTTTCTACCTACATTTAATATATTCTCAAACCAGCTGGTGATATACTTTCCAGGCCCTGATAATTTTCATGAAGTTACTAGATCTCAGTTTCTAAGGCCGCTACCCAGCACCTTTTCTCGTGCTGATTTTTTTATGCTATCTAAACAGAAGAGAACCTGATTTTCTTTCTAAACTGTAAATCTCCCCAACCAGGCAGTTAATACCTTTTCCCAGCAAAAGGGCACAGTATTTTTGAGACCCCCCCCCAAAGAGAAGATGAGGGGCTTTGGGGGCACTGCAAGTAAAAAAACAGTGGGAAAGCTTAATGGAAGTGGAGGGGGCCTCTGGGCAAAGGCAGACATAATAACAGGATACGTTCGCTTCTAGAGGAAGCAGGAGCTGCAATAGCCCGAGGGCAGGAAAGGCGGAGTCAGTAGCACCCTAAGGAAACGAGTCAGGGTTTGCAGGGACCTGGCCCGCTTAGGGACTCCTGCTCCAGTCGGGTCCAAGGCTGGTGAGCAACTCGCCTGCGGGAAACCAAGCGCAGGCCTCCGGGCACTAGTGGTTATAAAGAGGCACCCATCTGCTCCCTGCCACCTCCGCCAAAGATGGGCAACGGGGCGAAGAGAAAAAGCAAACACCTAGCGCCGCGGCAGGTGAACTTGTCAACAAGTCAGTCCCTGCCCAGAAGGAACCTCGGGGTCCCGGGGCCGGAACAGCTGGGAAGGCGAGGCACGGCGTGGGTGGAGTGGGCTGGCGTGGGTGGGGGTGCCGCGAGCGCCGGGGCTAGAGATGCGGCCGGCGCCCGGAACGCTTCCCTCCGGCTCCCCCGGGGCTGACGCACGCTCTCATGGCGCGTGCATCCTGCAGACCTGCCCAGGCCCGAGGGAGGAGGCGGGGGAGGGGAAGGGGCTGTGGCGGTTCCCACACGGGGACCAGAAACCAGAGAAAGCGACCCGCCTGTCACCCGCCGCCCACAGAGGGCACAGTTGGCGGCCCCAGGCTGGCGCCCCGACCGCCGCGGCTGCCGGGCGTCTCCCGCTGCAGCCCGCCCGGCGCGCCCCCGCCCCGACCCCGGAGGGCAGGTACCTCGGAGCCCCGGCCCCCAGGAGCCTCCTGGCCGCGGTCGGAGCGTCCCTCCAGCTCCTTCATCCGACGTCAGCGTCAGCAGAAGGCGAGGGAAGGGGGCGGGGGGAGCGCAGGAACCGGCCCTTCCTGCGGCGGTGGCCGCCAGCCGGAATAGCAGCCGGCGGAGCCCGTACGCGCCGCAGCGCAGCGCAGCGGCCGGGGGGAGCGGGCGGTCTCGCCTCCCAGCAAACGCCCGCGGCCCGGGCGCCGCCGCCGCCTCTCCCTTCCTCTCTCCTGAGGAGACACCCGGCGGGGCGACCCCTCCCACCTGGACCCGGGCATTTGGAGGAGCGAAGGGACGAAGGCCTCACCTTTTGGGGGGCGGGTCCGGGATGGGGGGACTGAGCCTCCCTCTCTCTCTCTCCTCCCTGGGGACTTTCCTCGACCCCCCCATCTCCTGGGGTATCCCCCGTTTCGATCTGCCGCCCAGGGTGACCCCGCCCCTGCTCTCCCGCAGGTGTTCCACGTGTCCATAGCATTTACGTCATAATGACCTGGCGGACAGGTGGGAGCCGCAGCGAGCGCTCCAGGGTTCCCTCCGTGCTGTGCGTGGTGCGTCCTCCTTCCTTCCACGTAAGATTTCTGTGGCTTTAGGAGACAGGAGACTTCATGACTTCAGTGCTAAGAAAAGTTACAGAGGCCTGTGTCTGGAAATTAACTTTGAGCTTAAAGGAAAAAGGCTGTGTCAAAAAAAAACACAACTGTGTATGTATATATATTTTTTATTCCCCATATAGTCATGTATCTTTTAATCTTAAATTATTGACGCTTATAGTAATTTGATCTTATCACGAAAAAACCAAACTCTTGCTTTTAGAGCACCTTGTGGTGATCACACAAAGAGAAGGTGTTGGAATAGGTGCTTCCTAAAATTATCTATGCTAAAAAGCAATCCCAATGTGCTATGAGTCAATCCCTGAGTATGTTATGTATTTATAAGTAAGTTCATAGAATAGTCACTGGTTGAAACAATTTAACAGAGTGGAAGGAAAGATGGTTATTGAGCAATGATGCAAACAAATCTGAAATCCACAGATTTCAGCCAACATGAATGAGCTGCTTGCTATGTGTCAGGCATATGCTGTATACTTCACATTTATTTCTTACTGTAACCCAGTGCTGTAGGTAAAATTATTATCCCTATTTTACAGATAAAGACACTGCCCAGAGCGCCTTTAAGGCATTTAGCTGATAGGATATGAGCAGGGGTTTGAATCCAGGGTTGTCTGAACCATGAGAGGTTTAGCTTAATCTCAAGATAGAAATGTGCCTAGCCATCTTCTTCTTTTTCTTTTTTCTTAAAATATGTTGCGTTATTTGTTTCAGAAGTACAGATCTGTGATTCAACAGTCTTACACAATTCACAGCACTCACCGTAGCACATACCCTCCCCAATGTCTATCACCCAGCCACCCCATCCCTCCCACCCCCGACCACTCCAGCAACCCTCAGTTTGTTCCTGAGATTAAGAATTCCTCATATCAGTGAGGTCATATGATACATGTCTTTCTCTGATTGACTTATTTCGCTCAGCATAACACCCTCCAGTTCCATCCACGTCGTTGCAAATGGCAAGATCTCATTCCTTTTGATGGCTGCATAATATTCCATTGTGTATATATGCCACATCTTCTTTATCCATTCATCTGTCGATGGACATCTTGGCTCTTTCTACAGTTTGGCTATTGTGGACATTGCTGCTATAAACATTGGGGTGCACGTACCCCTTCGGGTCCCTACATTTGTATCTTTGGGGTAAATACCCAGTAGTGCAATTGCTGGATCAAATGGTAGCTCTATTTTCAACTGTTTGAGGAACCTCCATACTGTTTTCCAGAGGGGTTGCACCAGCTTGCATTCCCACCAACAGAAGATAGCAGGAGAGGAAGAATGAAGGGGAGTAAGTCAGAGGGGGAGACGAACCAGGAGAGATGATGGACTCTGAAAAACAAACTGAGGTTTCTAGAGGGGAGGAGGGTAGGGGGATGGGTTAGCCTGGTGATGGGTATTAAAGAGGGCACATTCTGCATGGAGCACTGGGTGTTATGAACAAACAATGAATCATGGAACACTACACCAAAACAAATGATGTAATAAATGGTGATTAACATAACAATAAAAAATTAAAAAAAAAAGAAAAAAGAAATGTGCCTAGCCAAAATGGATAGAGAAAAAGTGTAGGTGTTATTGACATTTTAATAGAAAGTTTGTAAGATGGTACAGCTCCAGAAATTTATATAAACTTAAAAGTTGACATTATTCTTCAAATATACTCTTTGGGGATTTTGTTTGTCATAGTTGTTATTTGAGCCTATCCTAATATAGCACAAAACATAAAGCTGAGCAAACATCAAGTCCTTAATAATATGTTTACAAATAAACAAATAATGAATTAATATGGCCTACAAAATAGCAATTTGTTGAAAAGCTGAGATTCAAGACAAAGTTTGGAAGAGAAAAACGTTGCTCCTATCTATTTGGCTTTTATAAGAAGCATTCAAGGTGACCTGTTCACAATACAAGCCAAGTTATTTTTGCTCTTTATAAGAAGGAAAAAGGGAAAATACAAAACTTTTAAGATGATCAACAAAGGCTTCTTGAATGTTGGGTGAATGTATCAATCAGTTGTTTGAAACGCTGAGAAACGGATCACAAAATTTCCTGACTCTGTAATGTTCTTTCTACCAGTGGTGATTTACTAGTTGCATGAAAATATATTAGGAACTCTATTTATCAAAGGCTGGCTTTGTGGAAGATACTTAAATTTGTTACAAGAGAGCCAGTAGAATGGCAGGTTGATGGTGTGTTCACAATATCTCCTCAAAATGCAGATAACTGGAACACAAGCACTAGGGGAAGTGAGCAAGAAAACTGATTTATGTAACTAATTACTCAGGTTTCCTTTTACTTTTCTAAAGGCCAAGGTGAAAACTTGAGCCATGAGTCAAACACCATGGATGCTAAAAGTGGCTTCGAAGACAATGTCTAAAAGTGAACAGATATGTGATAACAAGCCCTATCTGGTCAACATGGCACTGAAATTCCTTGGGCTCCCAGAGTTTAAGGTAAATCTTTAAATGACTTTTTATCGTTATTAGTTTTGTCCTAACATGAGGATATTTCAGGAAGGAAATATATATATAATAATAAACTCATGCTCGTTCTACATCACCACAGTGAAGGCTTTTCCTTCCCATTTAAAAAATTGCTCCATCTGTAAACTTCTGTTTGTTTCTGGATATCAAGTTGTTTCAATCTTACAAAGCACCCACAGGGTGTTGAGAACTTGAAACAATTTCTTTTATTTTAAAAAAGATTTTATTTATTAGAGAGAGGGGGAGGGAGAAGCAGACTCTCCGCTGAGCAGAGAGCCCAATGCAATGTGTGGCCCCATCTCAGGACCCCAGGTTAATGACCTGAGCTGAAGGCATGCGCTTAACAGACTGAGCCACCCAGGTGCCACGAGAACCTGAAACAACTTCTAAGAGGAGAATGGTTATTGAATGATGGCATCTGAAATTAAGGAAGCTATACAGTAATGTGCATTTTCCAGAATGTAACAGGATGACAAGAAAACTTTTCCACAGAAACAATCATTACATATTCAAGTTAATGATTTTTTGAGGGGTTCCAAGGTTCAAGATGTGCTAATAGAACCACAAGAATTAGGAATTGTGTTAGGCTGTCATTAACAGAGACCCAGAATGGCAGTGGATTAAATGAGGTAAAGGTTTATTTTTTCTCACATTAAGGAAATTGGAAAGTAGTCCAGAACTGATATGGCTTCTGATAGGTCATCAGGGTGTTGCTCTCCTCTCCTTCTGTTTCACCATTCTAAGCAAAGCAATGTTGCTTAAAGTTAAAATCCAGGCAAGGATGTGGAGAAATACAAACCTTCATACATTGCTGGTGGGAATGTAAAATGATGCAGCAGCTTTGGAAAACAGTCTAGCAGTTCTTCAAATGATTAAGCATAGAGTTACCAGGTGGCCCAGCAATGCTACCCCAAAGTATATATCCAAGAGAAATGAAGACCTATGTCCACATAAACACTTGCACACAAAAATCTATGGCAGCATTATTCAAAATAGTCAAAAGGTGGAAACAATTCAACAGTTCATCATTAGGTGGATGAGTAAACAAAATGTATTATATCCATACAATGGAATATTATTGGGCTGTGAAAAGGAATGAAATACTGGTATATACCATAACTTGGATGAACCTTGAAAACGTGCTGATTGGAAAGAGCCAGCCACAAAATTCCATATATTATATGATTCCATTTTTGTAAAAGTCTGGGATAGGGAAATATATAGAGACAGAAAGTAGATTAATGATCATTTAGGGCATATATATATGTATACACACACACACATATATGTATATCAATATATTTGTATTAGTTAATGTATGAACATACTTGTACAAACTTTAATAGAATATGTAATATATGATATAATACAATATAATAATACTATATTTAGTGGACGGTTGATATATATTTTTAATATGTATTTTTAATGTTCTGAGTGCTCTTTATGCTCTCAGCCAACATGAGCAAGTGAGGCAGAATGCCTTTCTTCCTTTTGGTGAATGGGAACCATAATGCAAATAAGTGCTTTACCATTCATCCAGACAAATAATTATGGTTTCCTACTGCTCTGAAATCCTTTTATTTTCTGACTCATCTTTGACAGCATCATATATATTTATGGCTCCTGGTCTAGAGTAAGATGCTAAGATAGAGCTGAAGGTATGATTATTATCAACGTATTTAATAAGAGCTATATATATAAATCTCTTATATAAATCTCTTCAAAGCTCAGCTCATTAATAAGACAAATCACTTTTCCTTGAGTTGCTAGGAAATTGAAATTAGATAATCTGTAAGAATAAACTTTGAAAAAAACTGTTTTAAAAATTATTATTAAACTTGTCTGATTTTTATTGGTGATAGAAATTTAAAGAAAGCTTAAACTAAGTTTTATTGGCAAAATGAAGTCATTTATTCCCTGTATTGTGTAATACTGAAAGAGGAATTAGACGTACTCAACTAAGTATCTTGACCAATTTTGGTTTAATTCTTGTCATCAGATGTGCTCTCTCATAGCAAAACAAAGCTCCTGTTTTATTCTCAGCAGTGATAGTTATGTCTTTAAGCAAATTTGTGTGTGCATGTGAAAATAGAACAAATGTTTAATTAATAGCATTAACTTTTGTTAATTAAAATTAACTTCCTTTCCCTTCAAAATTAAGGCTTCAATGAAGAGAGGAGGTTTATTTTACAATGAAGAGTAAAACCAGCATACCAGCTTAGATTTCTGGGTAAATAACACCCCACCTCTTCACCCCCAGTATCATCCATTGGAACTTCTGCAAGAAAAGTATTGGTGATAGCATCAAAATGGGACATCTTATTCACTGTAGG